ACAGACTACCACTATGAAAATTTAGGAAGAAGTTCACAAGGTGCCTATGCAGATGGAAGGACTCCTGTATACTTTCAGGATCGATGTACTTCCATGTTCTAAAGTAATGTCTTTCTTGCTTGAAAAGCATCAGATGAACACCCTACAAGTACAAATGCACTGAGCTTTCACCTTATGAAAGAAATTAACAATGTGCTGGGCCCAGAAAAAAGCACAGCACTTCAGTTCCATTGCATCCCTTCTCTAACTTCATGCTTCTTTAAACAACCAGGAGCTCCCAAGGTGACTGAATCGCTCTTGAAATGTTTGTAACAGATCTGACAGTTGATGGGCACTTTAGAAACAAAATGATCTTTTTTTCACAGAAAATAGTCTTGATTTTTCCTTGCTTCATGTTTGAAGTGTATAAAATATAGTCTGTTTGATCTTGAACAAAGTAAAAAACCGAAACTAACAAAACTATATCATAACCCTCCTTGTAACACCAAAGGATACTATAAAAGGAAAGATAAAGAAGAGGACACATTCTCATTCATCTTATTTCCTTTTCTTTAACTGAGTGTTACCCACTTAGTTCAACCAGTAGGGTATTCTCCTGCTGAATTCCTCACCTTTACAGATTGCCAGATGTTCATGTTAACCTAAGTGTTCCATTTACCACCAGTTCAGGTGGCTGCAGCTTTGCTCTGCTCCAGGAAGTCTTAATTTGTCCAAAAATACTTCTAAGTCTTGGTAAACCTTTTGCTTAGCCACACGTTGTACTCGTAAATCAGCTATTCTTTATTGTGTATGTCTTAAATCTTCACTTCTGAGCCAAAGACAAGAAAATACCTTAGGAGCTGGAGACTGAAAGAGAGAACAAGGAGTCATAGCTGTGTAAAACACTTGAAAGGCCTCATTAGATGTCAACGAGGCTGCTGCATTAGGTAAAAATTGTCACTGTTAACTGATATGTTTGACTGTTGTACTTCAAGAGATTGCAGTTGACAGGACAGTATCTACTGTCAGTTCATATGATAAAGAGGTGCTTAATTTTTTTTATCTGGATGTGTTGACTTGCTTTGTTGGATCTTACACCTCCTTTCCAGATGTGCCCTGCAACTGTTCTTAGGTCTGTCTTTTACCTGTTGTTGTGGTTAGAGGGCTGATGTGTGAATTCGGTTGAGAACCTGTAGTGGCTTCTTTACCCATCAACATGGCCTCATGATAAACACCCTAGGCAGAGGTAGTGTTGTTTGTCGTGTTTTCGATGGTATCATTCCAGAGATGTCAGCATCAGAAACCTTTTTCAAGCCAGAATTTCAAGAAAGGGAAGCTTTCCGGTTTTTCTAAAGTGAAAGCACATATCCAGCCTTAGGCCCTTTGCTTTATGCAGGATCATCACAAATGGCAGCAGCAAAAAGTACTTGTGGCAAAACCTGCAGCTGCTCCTCAGGAAAAACAGCAGTTTCTGTAGCATTTCAATTACTGCATAGCCACTTTAAAAGGAAAAACGTTCTTTTGTAGTTTACTTTTTTTCCTTTCGATCTTTAGAGTCTGCTACAGAAACTACTGGTCTTAAGATCTGGATTTTTGAAAGCAGGGATGTTATCTGGACATGAATGTAATCTGGATGCTGGAACTCTTTCTAACTTGGTTTTCCAAGCTGCCTGAAAAATATCAACTGCTTAGCCTGCCTCACCTCTTCCATTATAAAATGTTGATGTTGTTTACATACTTCAAAAGGACTGGTTAATTAACAACAGCTTGTAGAGTGATTTCAAGATGGAAAAACATGGCAATTACTGCAAACAGTAAAGGCACTGCAGGCTAATTTTCATTGATGATAATGTTGATTAACAAATACACAGCTCTAATAAACACTGTTACTGCTTTTGAGTGCAGGAGCAGGTGAAGAGTTGCCATGAGAACTGATGTAGCTGAGTGCTCAGTTCAGCCCTACTGATGTCTCTTTATTATTATGAAAATTGTATTCATTGATTACTAGGAGTAGATTTACCAAATTGAGGGACTGTCACTCCCTCTTAACTCTGCCTGATGATGTACATGCTCTGTGTCATCTCAAAGATGCAAGCACCTTCTGACAGTCTCACTACTTCTTACAGCCACCTTGCAATGGACTCTCTCCCAGGTGGATGCCAACACAAAACCAGTAGAGCGGCGTAAGGCACCGTGCAAACAGAATGCCTTATAACATGAGGAATAATTTATGACAATTCTCCCTTTCTTAGTTCTCAATGCTCATCACTAGCACCCTGAATTTTTTTAACTTTCTCTTCTTTAACAGATGGCAGGTTTCCCTTTATTTTAACATTGAGACATTTTGCAATGACTTAGGGCAATACTAAGGATCTTCTACCCAGTAGTTTGAGAATTCAAGGACATTTCTCTTTCTCATCTGTCCCTACCCATTTGTTTTACTTTGTTTTGTTATATCAAATTAATTAATGTTATATCAAATTAATTAGTCTTTTGTATTTCCCTGAAACAACTAAAACTCTCATTTAGGAGGGGTAAATATAGGTATAAATCTCATCTCATTATTTTCAGACTCTGTCTTGTGAGTTAATATGATACTGCTTACTTGTTGCCTTAGCAACACAATTAAAAACATATTTTTAAAGGAAAAGACACTTTGCTTTCTCTTGAGTAATGAGCTGAACAGCCCTTTTCTGCCATGTTCTTATTTTCAGTGAAATGTTTACTTTCTTTTAAATAAGAAAATTATGTTTTGTGTATTTCCCTCTCTCAACATAATGGTCATTTCACCTAAAGTAATTGCTGAAAAATGTGCACCTTTGACATAATTTGGCTTTCAGATGATCAGACAAGAAGAGCTGTGATTGTACTCCTTTGCATGATTCTGTTAACGTAGACATGGAGATATGGCCTGATGTTATAGGGAGCTTTGTCTGGAAACATAGTTCTGCCTCCATTCAGCCATGTGCCAGATCAGTATCTTGCTGTTTGAAGATCGAGGCTACTAGAGTTGAACTCCACAGTCTTACAGTGCTGTTCTGTTCCTGGTGGATGTGCTACACTACCAAGATACAGAGGTAGGGGGCTTGGCTCCATAACTCCATAAATAGTTGCAACAGCAGAAGGCTGTGTCTTGCCTTTTTACCCATGTGAGCATAAATTAGAAAAAGATCTCTGAAGTAATTTGTGCACTGTGGAGGACCTTTATGTGTTTTAATAATTCTGGTTTTATCTGAACACCAAAGCTGTGTGATCAAACTTTACACTCTGGGAATTATTTGCAGCTGCAAGTAAGTAGGTTAGTTTTCTTGCACGGTCAGTAAAAAAGCCACTCTCTTTCAGAGAGCCCCTCAAAACCAGTATTTCTCTTAGTGCTCCAAGGACTGGTCTCTCTTTCTTTCTGTCTCACTCTTTCTCTCACTCTCTCTCCACTGCTTAAATACAAAGCCTAAGAATACTACCATGCTAATAGATATCTAAAGTGATGCATAGGAGTAGTTGCATGGGGCCATTACAAACTGCCATGGTGAAATGGCATTGTCTGTCTACAGGGTGGAAATTGTCCTTGTGTCTTTACAAGGCAAGCATGGAAAAAACAGCACTTGATTTCACAGACCTGGTCCCTGTGCATGTTCAGAAGCAAGTGTGCTAAATAAATTACTTAATGGGATTTTACTGGCTTACTCCTGTTACCACTGTGCAGCCAAGTAGGCGGAGTAGTCTGTTTTCGTTGCTGTACCGTCAAAAACCAGGTAGTCACTTATAAAGTCCAAATCAGCTATAATGCATAACACAACAGAGAGATGCCAGTGTGAATAACATTTGAGTATGACGTGCTCTATTAAAAAACTGCGTGGTTTTGATTATTAAAGCCTTTTATTCTGCTAAATGGTGCAATGCATGTAAGGCAGAAGACCAGCTTAATTTTAGATCCCAGTTGAGATTGAAAGGCTGAACTGAGCTGATCCAATGAACAGCCAATGATTATAGACAATCACAATGTGATTTTACCAGGATCTCTATAAAAATGAAAAGTTTTTTTCCTTAAATGGCTGCTCACAGCTCATCACCAGAAACACAACTTCAGTTTTACTTTTCATGTCATGTACCAGAGTTGAGAGTGCATGCTTTAAAAGAGAAGTTCTACAAATAAATTCATAACATTAGCATGACGCAGTATGTCATTAAAAAGAAAGGTATTAAGGTTTGGGAGTAGTGTGAACAGTTTGACTTTTCCCTGACTATTACTTAAGAACTTGAAATGTGAGGTGTATTAGAGTTAATGAAAACCACCCTACATGAAATAATGATACAACATAAGGGCTTTGTGTCTTTTTAAAGGCACAGTAAAGGCAGAAAATACATGCCACCCATTGACTGATCTCACATCACAATATTTTGATTACTACTGATGGTCATATGCCTCAGTAATCTGGAAGACTGTGGTACATCAGTCCTGCACCCCCTGTATTCGATGGCAGAACTAAGCCTCCCATAGGTTTCAGTAACTACAAATTGTAGCCTTAAATAGTGAACATAGAAACAAAGATATGTGGTTATTTACTGAGCTGTCTATATTATTACAGTATATTACAGTGACAAAGTCCCTTGGTTCTTAGTCAAATAAATTTTTTATCCTCATTAATTGTAATTGTGCTCTGTGAGAAACTAAGTTTTGGAATTCTATATTTAGAAATAAAGGATTTCTGTATTGAAGAAGGGAGAAGGGGGCGCTTTTTGTATGGAACATTACTGCACTCACCTGTAAAGTGGGAGTTGCAGCTAAGCCTCTGAGTGTGCAGCTTGCAGCTGGAAGGGGGTGCTTGGTGGGTGAGAAACTCCCTGATAGCAGATCAAAAAAGGTTTATCATGTCAGCATTTGTTATTTTGCATTGTTGGCTGATGCTGATAGCTCCTCCCTATCTATTATGTGTTATACATTTTAACCTTAGTAGCAGGAGTTGAACGCTGCTTTCAATGCACTGCTGACTTCCTTTCTCATCCTCTTGGTACTTTTTCAGACCTGCAACTCCCAGTAGTCACCCCAGAGTGTTCTGGCCAGCCTGGACCATCAAGGGCCAGCACCACAAGCAATGTGTCCCAGGGCAGCAAAAGCACTGACAAGACACGTACCTCTCATCTGCAGCACCAGTGGAAGCAGCACATGAGTGCAGAGATGTAAGCTCGTGATACCCCATCCTCAGGAACTGCCAGTGCTTCATCATGCAGTTAGTTGGGAGTCAGGGATGCAGAATGTAGCAAAAGAGGAGACCATAGCAGATGGAGCATTTGGATGTATTGCATCTCATACTTGCATAATGTTTGTTTCTGTACTAGCCAAGTTTGCACATGTTTTGAGTGTAAACATTTAAGTCTTTATGTTGAGGGCATTGAAGAACCTAGAAAGATAAATACAGACCCAGAGACACCCCTGAATGTTAAGGTCTCATGGTGGCTGAGCTGTTTCCTGCTCCCATCCTCACCTTGCCCCTACCACAGACACACATATGTGGTCCTTTGCAAAGAGATCCTCCCTCAAGTGAAGAATGAAGAAGTACTTGATAACTTGTCTGTTATCAAGTGCTGTTTCCTATATTACAGTATTTCACAAATTTTATGCTCTGAGGACCTACTATTCTGCAGAGGGAAGAAGTAGTTCTCCTTCAGATAGATGTTGTTAGACTTCCTTAACAGATAGCAAAACTGAGGTCTGGAAAGGCCACGTATTGCCAAAAGTTGCACAGAAATGGGAGGAGAGCCCCTTGTCTTTCACAAGTAATCAGCCTTAGGAGCCATAATTTGTATAGTCATCTTCCCATTGCATTTGCTATGAGGTAAATTGATACTCAGAGATTTTAACAGACAGATTAATAACCGCATTTGTGAATATGCCCAAGTACAGCTCATATTTACCCAAGCAATGAGCTTTTAAATAACTGATTTTTTTCCTTGAGTTTGGTTTTTTTCTGTCCTGTTTCTATGGCTCATTCCTTTTGTGTGTAGTATGGGAGCTGTAGGCCAGTTTTTAGAGAGCTGTGTCACTTCTCAGACAAAGTTAGCTTCCATAATTCTTAGGTTAACTGAGGTATTATGAGTTATTTATAGGTATCCTAGTCTTTCCTAATATTTGGAATTATTGTATATGGTTTTCATTAGGGAAAGTATGCAGCACCACATGTTTCTGTCCTTTTATTACATTGAGGAAAGTGCTAACAATATTACAGTTTTTCCCCAGAGTTTGGTGGAGTTTCTGTATTTGGTATTAATCAGTGTTAAATCTGGGTACCTTGACTATGCACTTCTGTTATTTAAGGCTTTTGGATTTCTTTAATGTTTAAATTAATCTTAATTTGATATTTCACTCTGAATGTCCTGGGTTTGCAACAAGTATAATATTCCAAAAATGCATTTACCCATATGTACTCTCAAAATTTACTCCCTCCTAATACAGTTGCTTTATATGTTTGGAAATTAAGATTTAAAAATGCTGAAAGCAATGAAATTACTTCATGTAAGCTTTGTTCCAGGCCACTTGATTTAATCTACTGTGTTTCTTATCTTCAGGGAAAAAAGATTAATTTCTATTTTCCAACAATTTCACTATTTCACTATTTTCTTAGAACTCATTTGCAAAAGCACTGTATTAATGCTATGTATTTTTATTACTTTCCAGGAATCAAGTATCGGCTTCATCAGAGCACAAGGACATCCTTAAAGCTCAAGACCTTTCTGTCATCATCAAAGCATATGTGCTTGTGACATCCTTAACACCTCTGCGGGCATTCATTCATTCAACCACCAGTGTCTGGCATCCACCCAAGAAGAAGCATTTTACCATAAAGGTCAAACATTTTGTTTTCTACTTTTTCCATCTTTCAGGCAAAGTACACAGACAGAAAAACAGAGAATATCTTTCTTCTCTTTTACCTCCTGTTTGTTAGCAGTCCACAGCCTACAATGAATGTTCTCGTAAAGTACTGTTTTCATTTCTCAGAACAAATTGGGTTTGCTTCATGAAGCAGGGCAGCATTGCCCTGTGCACTGGGGGCATTTGCACGCCTCAGAGCCCATTTTTATTGGTGACATTTGACAGCAGTTGCAAGGTTGTTTTCTCTAAAGCACAGCAGTGTGGGTGCTGCCACACAGTAACAGCTTTTTTCTGGGATATTGACAGTGTTGTGAAACAGGAAAGTAAATATTTAAAATAGTTTGTTTAGATTCCTTTTTTAGGTGCAGTAAAACAGACTAGAGGAAGGTCAGGGCACTTCTAAATAAGGAGAAGGAAGTATACCATGGAGAGGGTGGGATTCGAAAGGTGCAGATGCAGCAATATTGGGGCCCTGCCGTGATCCCCTTGCCATGCATTTTCCAGCCTCAGTGTCCCTGGGGCTCTAGGCTCTTTCACTCTCTCAACCCTAACCCTAAACCCCCTCATGGTCTCGATTTTATGAAGAAGGGTGTGCCTTAAGTGGATTAATTCTCTCCAAGTGCCTGGAGAGACCCCTCTCTCTACACATTTCGTTTGCTCAGCAGACCTATGAACTGGCAAATATGCCTTCGCATTTCTTTAAGGAACTATGCTTCCAACACATCAGCTCTTTGTAAAGAAGCTACAGTTGTGCAGCTTCTTCTTTCCTTTTGATGATTTAAGATCACAAAGCAGCAGTTATTTCTTGAGGTCACATAGATCAGCTCCTGCAGCAGCCGTCAGTGGATGGGTGCGCTTTGGCCATTTAGTGTTCTTGGAGTAGGACCAGATCTTGGCTTTGGATCAGTCCGAGTGTTGTGGTGTTACTGTCTGGACTCTTAATGATGTTAGCCATTTGGTATGTTCTACAATTTTAGCTCTCTCAAAGTGAAGTGCCTAGTTCTAAGCTCTTTATCTAATTTTAGTTATTGGAGAAACAGACACCTCTAGAGAACAAGTCATCCCACCTAGTTTAGATACTAGTTTTGGAGTGAGATGAGTTTCCTGGTAAAAGTGTCTGCTTCCTTCTGTGGACTATGACATTCTATGCCAAATTCTGGATTACCAGAATTGGGTGAGTTGAACCTACTTCTCTCTTTCCCCCCTCAGAAGCTATGGAAGCCAATGGAGATATTACTTTGCCATCTATTTTCCTCTATTTAGATTTATGAAGAGTAATGGTTGCTCACTTTCAAACCTTGGGATTCAGTTTTGGTTTATGTTTATTAAAATAGCACAGTATCCAGCAGCATCACTATTGCAGCTGAAGTAGTCATTAGTAATTGTGATATAGCTCTGTAAAATAATTCCCACTGAGAGAAGTCTGCTGAACAGGGTGCCAGCCACCATTTACAGAGCACTTTGGCAGCTGAAGAAGAAATAAAAATGATAGCAGTGCATCTGCAGTAGTTCCAATCTGCTGTGGTGTTACACCTTTAGGCAAACTTGCCAAAATGGTGAGATATAAACAAAAAATAGGCACCACAGAAAGCACATTTGTAGGGATGTGGAGGTTGAAATGCAAATTAATGAAATGATAGAAAATAGGGTGTGTAAGACTCTCTCAGCACAGTGCGCCCTATAAAGACCATGAAAGGGGTCAGGGATTTTCTAGGAGAAATGAGATGCTGGGAATTCATAGAGTAGAGAGAAAGCACTACTGGGAAAATCATAAAGAGGGTCTGTGCTTGATGCAGAAGCAACAGGCAGATCACCCATCAGAAAGTAATACTTGGGAGAAGGTATGAATTTAACCATCGATATCCTTTGGGATGAGATTATGTCAAGTTTCTCATAAACTTCATGGAGCTGTCATTTGCTAGTGGGACATACAATGCCAACAGAGTTATCTCCTTTCTCAGAGTAGCTAGTGGAGCTGTGTGTGTTTGTACCAGCTGAGGAACCTGGTCCAGAAATCTCCTAAGCTTTAAATTTCCGCCGGCTCTATTATGTAGGATGGAAATGGTTTGTCAGCACCAACTTGTCAATAGTCGATACAGACAGAAAGGATCTCTAAGACATGTTCTTCCACTGATTGACAGAATACCCATCACTGTTTCTGGGGACTCAACATGCCTATAGAGGAGATTTTGGTCTGGAAAAATTTCCTAGTGTTTGATGTGTTTTTCCCCAAGAGCAGCTGACTGAGTTCTGGGTTTTATTTTTTTTTAATGAAGAGATGAGAATAATTTTGATGCACTGCTACACAATAATTTAGAGACCTCCTCAGTGTACAGACTTCTGTTCAGGAATTTTTGTCTCATACCAGTGTAATTAAATATTATCTATGAGAAATTCATCAATGCTTGTGGTTAACTTGGTTAAAGCATTGCTATCATAAACTCATTATGTTAAGTATGTTTAAAGTTTGATCTCCTGTGTACAACGACACTTTATGGTTGCTAGTAGTCACCAGAATATGGTATATATGGAGAGATTTTTAAGAAAACTGGAGATGGGGTAGCAGATGATATCAAATGATTAAGAGAAACTGTGTAAAGAGAAAATGAATTAAATAATACTGCATTCCCCACTGCTTTCTTTTTTCTTAGTAAACTACTATAAGTGATTTTTGCAATGCATATTTACTTATCCTAGTCGTAGTGGCATAGCTTCAGGATGATTACTTGAATAAGCCTTGGTCAAATGGAAGTTCAGGAAGAGTTCAAGTATGTTTTGCTCACAGACTGCCAGGTTTTCTCTGGATTATGCATATTTTAGTATCTCAGTTCAGAAAGCAAAAGAAGGTAAATCCTAAGCTGCCATGATGATTTTGTGTGTAGCTAATGGGTAAAAAAAGTGCAGCTCTAGATTTGGGCCCAGCATGGGAACATGCAAGGGATGCAGGGGAGAGAATGGCTTTCTGCCACACAGATGTTTTGATATAAGGCTTGTGTAATAGCCCTATTTCCTTGAGGGAATTTGGAAACCCCTTATTTAGACCATCTGTGTGTTGAAAAATTAGTAATAAAATAGAAGCTTTCTATTTTGCATATGGGACCAATTAAGGGAAGGGTCTCTGTCGATGTATGCAATAATTTCCTTTGTGTTAATCGACATTATGCATGTGTATTGAGTAGAATGCTGACCCCTGAATAATTTTATGTTTTGTAGAAGTTGGTATGCAGAACAGTAATTTATGATTAATTATCTCAAGGCTTAACACACTGTGAAGTGCTTACTCTACCCTGCCATTAACCTTTCCAAACCTGATCCCAGTTCTTAATGAAGGGATGCACTTTTGTAGACTGTAATAGCACCTCCTGCGTCATCAGGGAAGGCTCTTCTATGCTGTTGGCAACATCCCGTGGCCCCCTGGCTCACCATCCCTTTGCTCATCCAAAATAGACAGGTGCCTCCTAGACTTGAATTGCTTGACTGGTGTTTTTGCATAACCCTTAATACGCTCAGATGAAACAGCTCTGAAGTGATTTTCCAGTTGTGAAGTGAACATACTTTATTAAAGCAGTTTGCTGTTAATCTTGCTGTGGTGTAAGTCACTATAACTGTCGCTGAAACTCTCTGTGTATTAAGCATTTGGAAACGTGAATAAAGAAAAATACTTTTTTTCTACTTAATACACATGCAAATAAAACTGGACCCTCACTTATACAGGAAATCCGCTTTTAATATGACGTGGAGGTCTGATTTACAGCCGAGCACCGTGAAATTAAGTTGCAGTATTGCCCTCAAGTGGCCGGTTTTGATACTACCTCAAGTATTAGGCACACATTTGTAGTGAGATAAAATGCAAACATACATGCAGATAAAGAGCAAAATGTTTACAAACGGCAGAAAGGCTCGAGATGTTCTCACTTTTTTTTTTTTTTTTGATTTAATATTCTTGCCCAGTCACTTCCGGGAGCAAACACAAAAGAAAAATTACCATCAATTCTTAATCAATTAGATTGCAGGATTATTTGGGACTAAAATTAAATTTATTCATTAAGCTCTGTAAGAATGCTGTAATTCTCATCTTTCTGGGAGACTGGACATAATATAAATCCCATCTCTGTTTTCTGTCCTCATGGGATCTAGAGCCCTATCATTTCTCTTTTCACTGATCTAAGAATGGAAGTCTGTCTGGACTGGGGGAGATCAAAGACATGCTTAGTCTGACATGCTGTTCTTGGCAACAACCAGGCAAGTGAGCATCATGAAAACGTGTAACAGGACAAGCATAAATTGGTGCTGGTCCCTAGGCAGACTATAGCTATTTCTGGTAACCTGCAAGGTTAGAAATACAAAACTGGAAGTGGAATATATAACTTGATGTTTAATAAGTTCCAGTGAGCTTTTATGCCGTGCAATTCTCTTGATCTTCCCAATGTCTTCTAGGAATGAGACTGTACAGATTGTTTTTGTGTTGCTTGAGAAAGAGTATTTGTTTGATTTAAAACTTCTGCTTGGTTACTTGATTTCATACCCCTAATTCTCATCTTAAAAGAAAGAATAAGTAATCCTTCTTCTTTATCTTCTTCATTTCTGAGTCAACCTGTCATGCAGTGCACAAATACAGTCAAAATTCCTTCTGGAGTTCTTTTCTACTCTTCTCATTATGAACATCCCAGTTTAGCTAAGGGAGAGCTCTAGACTGGTGTTTCTCTAAGATATGTGGATATGTCATAAGTCTTTACCCTGTTATCCTGGCCCTTAGGTCTCTGGGTTTTTTTCCTGGTTCACAAATTCTCTTGCTCTGGCTGTTCTGTAAGCTCTGTAAGCATGCCCCACTGTGGCTCCCAGCTTTCCTAGACCTGCCTTCCATTATCCTGATTCTTCTTCTCGTCTTTCCTTTTATTTGATTTACAGCTTCCCTTAGTCAAGCTGATACACTTTTGTGTCTTGCAGTGAGCTGGGAAATGCTGTTAGTAAATC